TAACTATTACCTAAAACTAAAATTTTCCAACTACTGAGTTCCTCCTTCACTTCCTCTATCTTAGGGTTCCATCGAATACTCAGAAAACCAACTGAAATGTGGAAATGATGATACTTACCAAGTCCCGCAGAGTGTGCTCCTTCTTAGAGGAATTTGGTCCCAATACCAGAATAATGCAATTGTCCCTTATTTCATCATATTCCAGATTCAGAGGAACTTCAGCTATAATCCCAACTTTAAGACAATAATGGTATTTAAAAGCTCAGAAAACATTTTGTGCAAATAATTCACCTGCACCAAAATCTAAGCATTTTATAACCCCCAAAATACTGTTTCTTGAGAATCAGATTAATATCTTAATTTTTTATAGGAAAGATAGTTTGACTATTTGCATTCTAAGAATAATTGTGCCTTTAAAGCTATTTTCATATTTACAAAATAGTATAATACCATTAACTTTCAATATGATCACCTCTACTCCTTTATATAAATGCAGAAGTTGACTCTGGTCTGCCAGGACACATATTTATTCTCTCTGTGTACCTGTTGACAGTGCAAATAATAAAACTTTTTTTCACTGTTCCTTGTCAGCAGCTTGTCTTGAAATCTCTGGTTAAAATACAGAAAATTAAGTTCATTTAGCCCTTTTGTGTCAAATTATTTTCAAATGTTTTCTTTGTAGAATCACTGCCTTGTTTTTCCTCACACACCTACCTTGGTGGCTGTGCAGGCATGGGTCACACTGCCACCTGGTGTGCTGAGACAAACTTACTTCCATTCTGTGAAAACTATTAGGGCAGGGACCACACTCAGACCCTGCATTGCTGAGTCATACCTCAGGTTCAACAACGTTCTGGAGAACTTTGCAGGCATACAAAAGCCAGGAGAGAGGTTTGCATCAACGGCAAACACAAATCGTTTCATAGAGGAAGGGGGAAACCATAAGTATTCAGCATTTTTAATTCAGCAAATGTTTATTAAAGGGCCACTGCAGATAAGGTTTGTGCGTGGTCCGACAGGTGACCCAGAAATGAGGAAGACAATCCCTGTAGCAGAATACCGTATGAGTTAAGCACACAAAGTGCATGAATGGGTAAGAGATCACAAGAAGTAATATCAAAACAAGACAAAACAAAACAAAAACAGACTTCTCAGAGGAGTGGTATTTGGGATAGACCTAGAAGAAGATTTGGAATTTTATGATCAGAGAACTGAAGAGGATGAGAAAAATATACGTGCCAAAAATACTAAAATAATAAATTAAAACTTCTAGTTATAAAAGTCTTATTTTATTATTTTATCAACAGCAAAGTTCACAAGAGAAAATTTGCAGTTTTCACAGTCACTTGTGATTAGAATTCTATTATTAGAAGGGTGAAAAATATTTAAATTAAATAACTGACAGTTAAATTTTGCTTTTCTTAAAAAGTAATTTCTAAATGATAGTATTTGATAGCAATACTTCCATTAAGGTTTCTTTAAATCCCCTTTGCCTCAAAAAAAAAGACAAACACTCTCCCATATATTTTTTATAATTTTATTAAAATTATAATTTAAAATAATTCAGATAATACATTTATAACAATTGCATGTTTGCTGGCCATAAATGGATTAATAACTGTTTTCTTTTAAAGTTTTTCTTAGTAGATGCTTGGGTGTTGATTCTTAGAAATTCAGCAAATTAGTTTCATCCCCTCATTCTAATTATAAAATTAATGCTTTTATACTGTAGATGTCAATATCTTCAAATACCATATCAATTATTTGAATTATAGTCCAGACAGAGCTATCAGTTTATTTTGCAATCTTGAATTTAAACTTTGATTTTACAGAAGAGTGTGCTCTTGGCATATGTTTTTCTCAGATTTCTGGAATGTTTGCACAAATTTTGTAAGTGTTCTGTGCCATAGAAATAAATCAATGACTTGAATTTTTGTTACAATAGTCTTAAATAATACCCACTCATTTTGGGAAAATAATGATTTGTGTAAATTGAATAATACCCAACACAAAATACTTTTTAAATACATAATTCTATTAACCCTTAACTTTTAAAAAGAACTTTTTCCTTTTTTCATGTTAACAAAATCTATATATTTTTAAAAGTTATATGATAGAGATTGCTTTACATAGTATTTGGATTACATATCTTATATATCTTAATAGATAAATATGACACTTGAGGATTTCAAAATCTCATTTTTTAACGTAATTTCTCTTCTAGATGTTTGTAGATTAGACATAACCTTAAATTAATCTGGTTTCATGTATTTGCTTTCTTATTAATAAAAATTCTGAAGGGCAAAAATCATTCTAAAAATTCTTAAACTTTTGAGATTAATATACAATACAGTATTGTAATATGTAATACTAGTTAATAGTACATCACAATATTTTGCACATTATCAAATTTTTACTGTGAATGTATTGCTGGTGCCATGGCTTAATTATGTAGAATTTTATAACAACTAATAGCAGAATATGTGAAATGGCCTAGTATATTGTGTGATACATTTTGGGTTAAGCACCCCACAATCTAAGGATCTGCCCTTTCTCTCAGAGAGAAGTTACCCTGATGTGCAAAACTACCCTCAGAAGCCCTAAAGACTCGAAATGCAGCATCTGTATAGGACTCAAACATCAGTGCGACTCATTAACATTGTTCTCTGAAAAACGAGTTAGTCCTACCTCACAGCTAGTCCCAGATTGCTTTATCAGGGGAAAGAAATGCTAAGAGTAAGAAGATTTTTGTATGGCTAGAGGATGGTAACAGAAAGGCTCAGGGATGAGTCTTTATAATTAGGAAGAACAGAAGGCTGATGATGAGGGCTAAGAAATAAGTTCCTTCTTCAGTAAAAGAGTCAGGAAGTGCAAAACACAACTGTGGAATCCAGGACATCAAACAAAATATTCTGAATAAGCTCTTATTCCACGACAAATATCCACCCCTGCATAGCACTGTCTGCTGCAGCCACGATGCCTACAACAACCTGTGTCTTTGCTTAGTGACAGTCTTTCTTCCTCTGCTCTGCCACAGTTAAACGTGTGCAATGAATCCATCTTCTTGGCTTTCACTGTTTGAAGTGATTCTAAATAGACTGTGTAGTCCAGCTACAGATCTGTTTGGAGACATGCATGGTGAGTCACTTGCCCCAAAATAATCTACAATGTTCTTTTGATTGATGGTTGGATAGATACATACATACATACACACATACATAAGTATATATCCATTTATCCATCAATAAACATTTATTCCCTCCTTCTATAATAAAAAAATTGAAGCTGGGTGACTACCTGCCTAGTTAGACTACATTTCCCAGTGCACTTTGAAGTCAAAGTTATATGAATGGAAGTAACATTTAACCTCATTATCCCTTTAGTTAAAGTTGCTTTCATCTCTTTCCAGAACATCTAAAAACATCTCATTGAACTCTAAATAAAATCTCAAATCCTTAACATAGGTCCCCATCTCTATCTGTAGCCTTAACCTGTGCCACTCTGCCCCTAAGACTTTTATTCATCATCCAAATACAATAAACACTTTCTTATATCAAGGTCTGAGCCACTGTATTTATTTCGTAGGGATGCCATAACAAATTATCACAAACTAGGTGGCTTAAACACCACAAATGTATTCTCCGTTCTGGAGACTGGAAGACCAAAAGCAATGAATGGACAGAGCCATGCTCTCTTTCTGAAAGCTTTAGCCAAAGATCTTTCTGCCTCTTCTAGATGCTAGTGGTTGTTGGCATCCTCTGTGTTCCCTAGTTTATAGAGACATCACTCCAATCTCTGCCTCCATTTTCTCCCCTGTATCTCTTTCTGTGTCTAAATTTCCTTCGATAAGGACATTAGTTACTGAATTTAGGTTCACCCCAATACAGTATGATCTAATTTTAATTTAACTTCATTACATTTATAATGACCCTGCTTTCAAGTATAGTCACATTTACAGGGAGTAGAGGTTCAGACTTGAACATACTTTTTCTTTTAGGACACCGTTCAATCCATAACGGCCTCACTGTTCCCGACAGAACATATTGAGTGGTAAGAACACGGACTCCGGAGCCCAGATTGCCTCAATTAGCCATGTGATCATAGGCAAGTCACATAACCTCTCTAGGCTTCAGTTTTTATATCTGTAAAATGACGATGGAAATAGCATCTCCATCACAGGGATAATCTGAGAATTAAGTGAGCTGAGTACAGTTTCCAGAACATAGTTAAAAATTCACATTCCCTGGCCCTATTAAAAAATAAAGGAATGGCGGGGGTGGGGGTGGGGGTGCGGCGGGGAGTGGTGAGGAATCTGTACTTGAAAAAAGTCCACATCCAAGAGATCCTTTTGCAAAGCACCTGGTGACGCAAGTGACTTTCTTGCAGGAGGACCACACGCAAAGACTTGGTATTATGGAAAGACAACAGCATTCACCCTGCTGACTTCAGGACTGTTCAGCGTGATCAAATCCCGTATCAGAAGTCACCTCCCAGTCTGCAGCCGCAGAACTGAACTGAGCATGCTCTCCCCAGACGGAAGGCTGGGCTCCTTCAGCCCCGCCTCCTGGGGGGTGGGGAACCAAGCGGGCGCAGGGGGCGGGGCTCTCCTTAGTAACCTAATTTCGGTTTCACCCCGCCTGGTCTAGAACCCCGCCCCTAGCCCTCTGACCAATCACACGGTAGGTTGCTGAAGCTCGAGACCAATGCTCAGGGCCGTCCTTAATTCCTTTCTGCAGTTTGAAACTGTCAGGTTGCTGCTAAGGAAGCCCATGTACTGGCTGTGGCTTTAGCGGTGACTCGGAGAGCAGACGAGGACGCAGAAGTTTGGGTTTGTGCAGAGCCGCGACGGTGGGCAGCTGCGCCCCTGGTCGACCCCGCACCCCTGGCGGAGGCAGTGGAGTGGGATTTAAAGTTCCTTGGCCCGGATTTTCGCTCTCGAGGCTCATACAAGACGGGGCTGGGAGCATCTTCCCCCGGACGCGGGCCTTCCTGCTGTTCTGCGGGGCAGCAAGGTCGAGAGCTTTTCCTCTCCGAAGCGTCGAGAAGAGAGGACAGGAGGAAGGAGTGCCTGGAGTATAGCAATTAAGGTCGCCGTAGACTCTGGTCATTTAAAACGTAAGGGGAAGGACAACCATGTGTAACTCTTTATTGCTTTTAAGTAAGAATTTGATTAAAACAGGGGTGGGTAGGAAGGTGACCCAAGAGAACTACCCTCTCTGCTTACTCGCAACTGCTTTGTCCCTCTGCTTCTAGTCCTTGGCGTGGGGAACGGCTGTTGGGCTCTCTTTTCTTGTCTGCACGTAGGATCCATGAATGGGCGCAGGGATGTCACCCTGCCGCCAGCTTGCACCTTAATTCACTCTACCTTACCTCTTAGGGGTTACTTTTGAGTTCCCGGAACGCTCTTTCTCCATCAGCCAGGTCATTACCAAGCTATATTTTATTTCTCTGGCAATAGAAAAACATTCAGAACTTTCTGTCTCCTGGTTTCTGATTTGTTGGGTTAGAGAAGGATGAAATTTAGTGAAATGATATACATCTGTCACCTAGTAAAGCAAGATTCATTTTCCTCCTTTGTTTCTGAACCTAGAAGCACTAAGGAAAATGCTACTTTGCAGAGTTTTAAATAAACTATCTTACTTTGTTGGCATCAGAGAACAGCTGGAAGATTTAGAGCATATTTTCCAAAAGTATAATAGTTGTTTTGTGTCTGCAGTATCTATATTTAAAAACTCTTTTTAAGGCCAGTCATACTTTTCCGTTCATTTGTTTTGTTTTATTTTAATAATCAGCCTCACCCCACCCCCACTCCTATACCTAATTGATCAGCAGACACATCCTAAAAGAAGAAATGAATGAAAACAAATGGACCAAGTTACCACAGTGGTGGATTTGAAGTCCTGAGAAACTGCCATTCCTTGCTGAGATGTATGTGCTTATTTTATCCTCCCTAATTGGCTTAACTAAAGATAGTCATGCTGAGATTTAGTTTACTTATCATGTGTATACTCAGTGATACCCATTGAATAAAGTTGAAGTAACATTTCCACAATCTAACCCCCACCCATGTTTCTTCTGTATAGCACTTTCTCCTTCAATTTACCCATCTCTCACTTATTTTTTAGCCCACTGTGATTGAGACCTGCTCTACTTTCCACTGAAATTGTTCAGGCAAATACCATAGCAACTTCCCGATTTCGGAATTCAAGGGACTCTCTCCAGGTTTATTCTTTCTTTGCCATGTGATTCTTACTTCTCCCTTCTTGAAGCTTTTGTGGGGCCATTCTTTCTGAAAGTTCTACCAGTCTGCTTCCTGTTTAGTCTTCTTTGCTGGCTATTCTCTTCCCCCTTTAAATGTTAGTGGTTCTGGCTTTAACCTCTTCTCACTGTGGTAGTGATCCTTAATTTTCTTAGGGGTGTAGTTCCCTCTAAACACATATTGGAAGATAGGGAGTCCTCTTCCTAGAAAACTACATGTGTGCATTTATACTAAAAAATATTGCATACAATTTGGGTATATGGCTTCAGAGTAAGATCTCTTTCTCATACTCCTTTTCATAGGTAATCTTATCCTCTTCTTTTTTCAGCATTTCCCATTGGCTGACAATTCCTCAAACTGTATCTCCAACTAAAGTTTCAGTGCAGGGCTCCCACACTGCTTAACTCCAAGAAGCACCATTCACATCACATCCATGGTTAGTGGCAGTCCGTGGAGTGGTACACAGCATAATGGGTGCGGCCATATACTGCACACCTGCAGCTTCACCTCAGTGCCTCATAGGTGCCTGGCACCCAAAACATCTGATATTGAACCCACTGTTCTTCCTCCCAACTTGTTCATCATCCTACATTTTTTGCCTTGGTGCGTGGCACTACCATTCATCTAGTTACTCAAGCCAGACATCTGGAAGCCATCAACAATTCTCCCCTTTAACCCCTTAACTAATTACTGATCATGATCTGTCATTCTCATGGCCATAACACAGCTGTCTCATAGTCAAACCCTCCATCCACCTCCCACTGCTGACGCCTACATTAAGGGCCTCATTTCTTTCCTGGATTACTGCCAGAGGGAACACTTAGTTCTCAGACTGCTGCATTCAGCTCTCAATAGATCTCTGTTTTTTCAGGACCCCAACTCTCCAATTCACCCTGAAAGTTGGCAGAGTGCTCTTTCTAAAAGACAAGTGTGATCTGGTTATCACTCATTTAAAACACTTTAATATCTTCATTAAAATAAAGACCAAACTTTTTAACATGACATAATCATGACTTTCCACAATCTGGCTATTCCTAATGTGTGCCTATTTCATCCTTAGCTAAGCCTTGCTTTGCACCCTTTGCTTCAGCCTTATAAACTGCTTATGTTCTCAGCACACATGTCCATGCCTCCGTGTGTCTGCTTATGCTGCTCTACTGCCTGGCACATCCTGGTAGCTTCCGTCTGCCCTTCAGGTCTCAGCACCAGGGTTCTCTTCTCTATAAAATTTTCTGTGGGTCCATTTCTACTGCTTCACACCATCATGATCTCACCCCAGGGGAGGTGGCTACTCCTCCCTCCTTCCCTTGCACCTCTGTTGTTTCAGGATCTAACAGCACTTTTTTCATCAGTCGCTGGCCCTCTCTATACATTCTAAAGTCCTTGAGGACTCCTCATCTTACTTCCTCACCAATGTCTTACATGTTACTAGTATTCAGGTAGTTTGAATACTCACTGCTTGTCTTTTAAATAATTTATTTACTTGTTACTAAAAGTACTTTTTGGGGGGGTTAAGGATTTCAATAATTTGTCTATGTGTGTATTCGAATCTGTTGTTTTGTATAGACATGCTTTTCTTAAAATAATACTTCCAAAAGATAAGTTTCCCAGGCAAGGAATTAGCACAGATTATTCATTCTCCTTGGTTCTGTGTCTTCAAAGAAAGCGCACAGCACTCAGGTTGACACACATTGTTGAATAGATCACAATCCATTATTCTCTACGGGCTCGAATGCAGATTTTCCTGAGGAGCCTCCATTTTTCTTTAACCTTTCATGTATTTGTTTCATCTCCTTTGCTCCCTTATACACGCGCTAATTTTGGGAATTGAGTCTTTAACTATTTTTTCTAACCCAGAATGATTTTAACATGTCACAATTATTGTTTATAGGTTAGGATGGATTCCATCTCTATATAAAACATTTTATTTTAGTTTAAATATTATGGGGAAAAAACTAAAGTTTACATATGTTTCACAGTATTTACGCAGCATGTCATCAGACGAGGAGAAGTGCTCCCTTCTAGTGACGCAGAACGACTCCAACCGAGGCAGCTCAGTCTCTTCAGACCTGCAGGTGGGAAAACGTGTCTAAACAGGCCCTAGCTTTTTTTCAACAAGTAATAATGCAAGGGAAAACCAGGAATCCTCTTCCATTCATTCATGCCATTTATATTTATAATTGTAATGTGTAATATAATGTATAATGTATATCAAAGTATATCAAACCTCGAGAATTACTTTATGAATTTTGGGAAATACCTTACGTTGTTTTAACCTTTCAGAAAATAATTATTTTCACTCTGTACAAAGGCTTCAAACACACACAAGGAGAAAAAGCTGGAAATGTCAAGAAACTTTTCTTTCTTGACATTTTCTTAGTGTAGCTATCTTTTATGAATGCTGCTTTCACTTTCATGCCAATTAATACAATATCACACCACCCAGAGTTCTGGGGCCTGGATTCCTTAGTGTTCTACTCTAGGTTCCGGTCCCTGTTGCCACAACGTTTAGCACATTCTGCTGCCCAGGATGTGGACAGTGACAGATGAATTGACTACAGAAGGTATAGATTTTACATGAAATGCTTTATTTCTAAAAGTTCTATCATCAAAAATATGGATCCAGATTTCTAGAGTAGATTTTGAGAGAATACTGACATGGTATATCTTGAGTTTTATATTTATATCACTTAAGAGGAAAGTATGTTAAGTAGAGCAAGTTCTTATTGACACTATAATATAGAAAAGCTTTAGAAAAATATTTTATGAAACAAGTGTGTTCCTGTAATTGAAATTACAGTTTAAAAAATGGGGAGCTATTTTTAAAATATCTGTGATTATTTACAGGTAAAAACATGTGGATTGTGACAGATGTTTTCTCCGTGCCTTCCCTGTGGGTGGCAGCTCTCCCACTCAGTGCTGTCTCTTTAGGTGACAGTGCTTTCCTGTCCCCTTCCTCTCTGCTCTATCTGAACTTCTTCCAAGAAGGAACCGATTAACTCATGTATACTTGTGATATTATGATTTATAATAAGAAATAAATATTTGATTTGATCTTCATCCTGATTTCTGGCACAGAATTCCTAAAGCCATTGGAATTTCTTAAGTGATGAGAATGATAAAGGTGCCTTTTGTTATCAGGTGATTTTTGAACCCTCACCTCCAGGCGGGGCTGGATGCCAGAGGAACCAACGGTGCAATTAGTTGGAACTTTCAGTCCTTCCCCCTAACCCCCAACCTCCCAGGAAGAGAGAGGGTCTGGAATTGAGTTCAGTCACCAATGGCCACAATTTAATCAATCATGCCTACGTAATGGAGCCTCCATGGAAACCCAAAAAAGAATTCAGGAAGCTTCTTGGTTGGTGAGCACGTGAAGGTGCTACGTGGCTGGTGTGGACCTTCCATGCCCATTCCCCATTCCTTGCCCTATGCCTCAACTCTATCTGGCTGTTTCTGAGTTATATCCTTTTATAATATACTGGTAACCTAGTGAAATGTTTGCGTTTTGTGAGCCACTCGAAATTAATTGAACCTGAGGAAGGCATCATTAGAACCACTGATACATAGCTAGCTGGTCTGTTAGAAGCACTGGGGATCTGAAGTTGGGGGTGGGGTGAGCAGTCTTGTGGGGCTGAGCCCTTGACCTGTGTGATCTGATGCTGTCTCTGGTAGATAGTGTCAGAAGTGAGCTGAATTGTGTGACACCCAACTGATGTCCAAGAATTGCTCGTTGGTGGTGGGGAAAACCCATACATTGTAATTGTTGGGTCTAGAACACTTTATTACTAAAATATCAACACCCTATAAGATCTCAAGTTGTTGTTGTCGGGAGACAAAGCTTTACATCAAAAGACTAAACCTCTAGAGTAGAATTTAATAGAGGGACAGGGAAGGATGTTCTAGACGTGCCAGAAATCATTTTGTGTTATTGGTTATCTGCTTGGAATGTCAGCCCAACTAAGATTCTGTTTCTTAGTAACCCTCAACCCTTAGTAACCCTTAGTAACCCTACTGGTTCTTGACTACAGTTGAACGCCTACCCATGTTCCATTATTGAAAACATTTCAAAATATAAATAACAAAAATGATGTTAAAAATAAAATAGCTATACACTTTTATACACAATAAATATGTACCACCTTTCTTCTTTTGCCTGAGTGTCCATTGCAGCAGTGCTATAAAACATTGTTTATTACTGGTTTCTCATAGGAAGAGTATGAAGAACTGCTTCGTTATGCTATAGTGACTCCGAATATTGAATCACGTGCTTCACAGCCATCTCATTCTAAGGGAGAAGTGATGACAGATGTTAGATTTCCTACTATAATTGATGATATTCTTCATAATCAAGGTTATGTATATTTTTCAATATCTCTTAATTTAAGATGTTATTTGAGCTTATTAATGTTATTGACGTATGATTGTGAGAATGCCTCTCCAGTTATTCTTCTCAGTCAATGGTGTGTATCACTATTATCTGGGGAAACATTTTACATTTTAATAGTTATTCTTGGCTCTTATAGGACAGCTGGATTTTTATATGAACTTCTTTTGATTATTACTTTTATGAAAAGTAATAAAGTTAAAGCAACATTGCATGTCTCCTAGTGCGGTATGTTGTGTCTCTATACTTGCTTCAATGGTAGTTTGCCATTACTATCTTGGAAAATAAATGCCCAATCTCTCAAATTAAAGATGGTCCATAGGTAGCCCTCAGAACCCCTTAAGTTTATGAACCATGTGCTAAGGCTTTGTTAGCAGTCTTTATGTGGGCACAAAGGACTATTTGGATTATCACCACAATCTTGGGACTATGTCAGTGACAGTGTTGAGAACTAATTCAAATCAGGATGTGTGTTGATCGATGAGTAAAGGTTGAAAAAGGAGGGTGACACTCCTTTTACTTATGTGTTCCTTATTCAGTCAAGTACAGATCCCAAACAACTTGCTCTGAATAAGGGTACAGAAAGCCCTTATAAAACAGCCCTGATAATAGGCAGTTAAACAACAATAGGTGTAACTTTAAGGTTCCCTCCTTGAAGGCAGATGACACAGCTGTATCAACAGGCTCCTCAGTTTCTGGTAAGTCTCAGCCCTAGTGTCTGCAGTCCTTCTCCCTCTGTAGATGTGAAGTTTTCATTGCTTCTCAATCTTTGGCCTATTGCATTGAATCAATAAATAGATCATAGTTGTAAAGTAAATATATTTACTCTACCACTGAAACATTCTAATACTGAATATTTTCTACCCAAATTTTATTGATCTTGAAGTGATATGACCCTTAGATTTATTTATTTAGTATCAGTGATCTTGATGATGTTTTGATTACAATGGCACCTCAGGATGGAGCTCGTGCTGAGCAAACCCAAAGTCCTGTGTACTGTCTTACAAATGGACGCAGGCAACTGTGTCAGCCTCCTGAACTTCTGCTCCAAAGGTGGTCACCAAAAGCTTGTTTTCTTTTCCGTTGGCTACTGTACTACTGTACTGTTGTTCCCAGTGGCACAATGTGGGAGACCCTTCCTTGCTCCAACTCTGCAACCTTTCAAGGCCATTTGGGATTTAAGACCCTGTTCTTTCTAGCATGTAAATTAGTATTTCATTAAGCTTTGCCTTTATCAAAAAGGACTTGGGACCTAAACATACAATATTCAGTGAATGTATCTAAAGATGATCCTGCTTCACACACAGACTTGGTTAGAGTAGACTATGTAAATTTACCATCCCATTCTCTATTCATAGTACTGCCATTGCTTGGTGTAAGTGCAGTGTGTCAAAGTTGGCAAAGTTATTCTTGTGAGGTTTTTCCTGGTTTCCTTTTCACCGTGTATTGACTAAAGGTTCCTGAGATGGCAGTAAGGAAGTCCCTGTTTTGAAGGGAGCAGTATCACTTTACTTCGATTGCAGCTAATGAAAAGCAGCGGGCCCCTGGAAGTATCAGTGTTATTAGGCAGCATAGTCTTTTCTAAGTTCTAATGTCATTCAGCCACTGATTCTCTTAGTGTGAACTGAAAGCCATAGTAGACTGAATTCTCTTTCACCATATTCGGTGGATGAAATTGAGCTTATTAATGACATAACAACACTTCTTCCAGTTTGAGAGTCTTTTCTTTATCCTTGTTCTTTGTGTTAACATGCCTATGACCCCAGCATGTTGTATATTTCTTGTTCTAAAATTTTACTTATGTACCTCACCTTCTTAGATTAGGTGTGTGTGATCAGGCATTTTATTTAAGAGTGCTTTGGTTTAAGGTTTTAAAAACACCTTTTTCTTTTCAGTAGGAAATAGCCCTGCAGAGAGAGAAGCAAGGATGGAAGTTGGAAAAGGACATGATGTAAATATTATAAATCATCCAAGGACAGAAGGTACAACTTTCCCTTAGCTTGTTTTTTTATTAATATCAACACTTTGTGGTTTGATGAATATCATCTATGTAGTAAGAGAAATAATTTTAGTGAAATACTTATTGGCAGGATTTTAAAATGCTATTGTTACTCATTTATTGGGTAATATTATTTAAAATAATTTCACAAGATTCAAAATAATACAGTTAAGACAGGTTTATGTATTATAGTGTGTGATATCCTTTCTTAAATCTGCTGATTAAGGGCAAATATTTTTAAAGGTTCAATGGGATACCAGCTAGTTTGACCAACTAAAATTTTGTCCTAAACCTGTGCATCATTTCCCAATTAAGTGTACCAACTTAGTGATTTTCATCCTCCCTTTACACCACCTGTTCTATCATTCACATGCTTTTCTTCAGATATGTTTATTTTTACCTTAAATTTATTTTAAAAGAAAAATTCACATATGTTATTATTGGTAACATAAAACAAATATACATTTGTCACAAATAGAAAGCAATGGTAAAAATAAGTGAATCTAAAACAAAGTTACTAAAGTTTGGTTGAATATCTTTGATGGTGTGTTCAACCTGAAGTCTGCTTTTTCTTTGTTGAGAGATTAGCAAGTGTTACAGTGGTTTCAAAAGCATCCTGGCACCAGTTTGAAACTTTCTTTGAAGTAGAGTAATTAATGTAATAAATAGAACACTTTTCAAACTATGTGATTCAGTGTTATTTAACTTAGGGGTCATTTAAGCCACTACATAAGAAATGCCTCTATCCTTTAGTTTCCTCACTTGTAAATAGAGGGCTCGGGCAATGTAATCTCCGAGGGGCCTTCTGAGTTTTCCTGTGCAACCTCCACTTCTGGTTGAGGACAATCTGTTCATTTTCAGTAAGGATCATCTCAGTGTGGTAGGGAGAGCTCATATATGGGCTAATCCGCCTAGGAGCTCTGAGTTCTGTGCCACATCTTGGGAGCTTTCTTCACCTGAATGTGCTCAATGACCAGAGAATCTACATCTAAAGCCTTAAGGTCAGCATTACTCTCTTCATTTGTAAGCATGTGCAGCAAAAATTTAGCACTCTTTTTGATCCATTGACACTGTGTCCATCCCCACTGTTTGGCCTGGGCACACCTACCAACTCCACCATTGTATCAACAGAATGCCACACATTGCTTCTGTACAGTGCCATCCTTCAGATGCTTGGGGGCTTTTCGGATGTGCATACTCTTGATGGCCTGGCAGTTTCACAAGTGCTCTTAAAGTAAACTCAAAGATTTGAGTGTCTTGATTTGCATGACTTTGTAGGGTTTTCTAAGTCAAGTGATTAGCAAATTATTTTCAGAGATTAACTCAGGCTACTGTCTGGAAGAGGCCAAGTTCTTAAGTTACATGCTTCTATTTTTTTAAAGGTGAATATTTAAAAATAGATAGATAGATAGATAGATAGATAAAAGCCCTGGCCAGGTAGGCTCTGTAGGTGGAGCAGCATCCCATGCACCAAAATGTTGCTGTTCGATCCCCAGTCAGGGTACATAACCTAGGTTGCAGGTTCCATCCCTGCTCGGGGCACATATGGGAGACAATATATTGATGTTTCTCCAGCACATCAATATTTCTCTCTCTGTCTCTCTCTCTGCCTCTCTCTGCTTTCCTCTCTAAAACACATATCCTCAGGTGAGGGTTTAAAAAGAAAGAAAGGGGAAAAAAAGCAGAGCCTATTGTTTTTCCCATGAATGCAGATCTAGTTGGTAAAATCTACTAAAAGAGACAATTCATGTAACTTGATGTCATTCCATCTTACTGAGTTCCTAAACCATCTTCAGAATATATAGGTAGTGTTTCTTTTATTTTATTTATGCTTTTAAATCATATTTTATTGATTTTGCTATTATAGTTGTCCCAGTTTTTCCCTTTTTGCCCCCATCTGCCCAGGACCCCCTAATCCCTAGGGCAGTCCCCACACCGTAGCTCATGTCCATGGGCCATGTGTATAAGTTCTTCGGTTACTCCATTTCCTTTACTATATCTTATATCCCCATGGCTATTCAGTAACTACCTATTTGTACTTAATCCCCTTTTCACCCATTTACCTGCACTCCCCTCCCACATGGCAACCATCAACACTCTCACTGTATCCATGATGCTGTCTCTATTCTTCTTGTCTGCTTAGTTGTTTTTTTAGATTCAATTGTTGATAAATTTGTATTTTTTGCCATTTTCTTGTTCATAGTTTTGAACTTATTTTTCTTAAATAAATCTCTTTAACATTTCATATAAAATGGTTTGGTGATGGTGAACTCCTTTAGTTTTTTGCTTGTCTGGGAAGCTCTTTATATGCCCTTGATTATAAATGATAGATTTGCTGGGTAGAACAATCTTGGCTGTAGGTCTCTGCTTTTCATGACTTTGAGATTTTCTTGCCAGTGAATTCAAGCCTACAAAGCTTCTTCTGAGAAATCAGCTGTCTTATGAGAACTCCCCTGTAGGTAACTAACTTTTTTCCTCTTGCTGCTTTTAGGATTCTCTCTTTATCTTTAACCTTTGGAATTTTAACTATGATGTGTCTTGGAGTGGGCCTCTTTGGATCCATCTTGTTAGGGACTCTCTGTGCTTCCTGGGCTTACATGTCTATTCCCTTCACCAAATTAAGGAAGTTTTCTTTCATTGTTTTCTCCAGTAGATTTCCAGTTTCTTGCTCTTTCTCTTCTCCTACTTGCACCCCTATGATGCAAATGGTGAAATGCTTGAAGTTTTCCCAGAGGCTGCTTACACTATCCTCGTTTTGTTTGTTTGTTTGTTTTGCATTCTTTTTTCTTGTTGTTCTGATTGGTTCTTTTTTACTTCCTATATTCCAAATCATTGATTTAATTTTCATCTTCATCCACTTTACTATTGTTTCCCTGTAAATTGTTCTTTATTTCAATTAGTGTATCCTTCATTTCTGACTGGATCTTTTTTATGTTGTTGAGGTCCTCACTAAGTTCCTTAAGCATCCTTATAATCAGTGCTTTGAACTCTGCATCTGATAGATTGCTTATCTCCATTTCGTTTAGTTCTTTTTCTGAAGTTTTGATCTGTTCTTTCATTTGGGCCATGTGTCTTTGTCTCCTCGTTTAGTAGCCTCCTTGTGTTTGTTTCTATGTATTAGATAGAGCTGCTTTGACTCCATGTCTTGGTAGTTTGGCCTAATGTAGTAGGTGTCCTGTAGGGTCCAGTGGCATGGCCTCCCCTATCATCCAAGCTGTGTACTTGAGGTGTGCCCTTCATGCGGGCTGAGTACACCCTTCTCTTTGAGCCATGATTGTTGTTGATAGGTTAATGGGAGGGATTTACCCAGGCCTGTCAGCTGCAAGGACTGGCTCTGACCACTGACCACCAACCTCTGCCCTTTGTGGAGGACCATCTGTACAGAGGCAGAGTGGTGGTGCTGTGACATGGTCGGCAGGTGTCCAATGGCTGCACAATCTCTGGGATTTCCTGGGTGGTGCAGGCCAAGGTCACTAAAAGTAAAAGTGGCTGCTACTTGTGCTGGTCTTAGAGATTCCTAGGCAAAGCCAAGTTGTGAATTTCAGCTGGCTGCTACTACAGCCAGGCCTGGGGACACTTAGCAAGAGGCACAGGGGCTGGGGACATACTGAGGCCTGCTGTTGCTTATTTGATAGGATTTAGGAAGTTGTGAAGCTTGATCCAAGACCAGCCATCATATGGAAAAGACATAATTAACAGTTTGGATGGGCCCGTAAGTTGGACAGGGTCCAACTGGGTCTCAGGGGATCTGCAGGGTGGGGCAAACAGTGTTAGCCAGCTTGATGGAGTTTCAGATATGGCACCTGCCTGCTGGCTCTGCAGCTCTGTCGGGGAGAACTCAGAAAAGAGACAATGGCCTTTGCCCTCCTTTTTGTCTGGGAAAAAACTGTCTCCCAGTTCTCACCTTGATTCCAGACACTTCAGTTCCTCTCATATGCCACTGGTGCCTTTCAAGCTGTTTCCCCAGTGCTGGAGCTCAGAGGGAGTGAGTCTAAGTAAGTCCCTGTGTGGGTTCTTTAGGAGGAACTGCTTGGGGCTCTAGAAGTTTCTTCCACCGACTCAATCTGCCCTGGTTTTTGCAGCCAGGAGTTGTGGGGACTTTTCTTCCTGGCACTGGCACCCTGGGTTGGGGTCCCTGGTGTGGAGTTGGGACTCCTTGCTCCTGAGATATCCCTCCCAAATTTTTATCGACCACACATGGTTCTGGGACCAGCCTGCTCCACTTCTCCACCCCTCCTACCAGTCTGAATGGACGTGGTTTCTTTAATTCCATGGTTGTCAGACTTCCATTCACCTTGATATCTGATGGTTCTGAGTGATGGCTCTTCTATATTTTAGTTGTAATTTTGATGTGGTTATATGAGACAAGCTGTGTTCACCTCTGTAGCCATCCTGACTGGAAGTGCCTAGGTAGTGGTTCTTAGTTTAACTAGCTTGAAACATCTGTTGATGTATTTTTTTTTTTTGGCAAAACATATATATTAGGTAATTATTTTCCTAATCATTTTTTTAAAACATCTTGAAAGATTTTCTTTGAAGTAACAAGTTCTATAGTAGATTTATCTTTGAGTCATTTTGTAAGGATGAGAAAAAAACCCTTCAGTCTTAGTTGTAGGAACCTCATAACAAAAGTGTGATATGTAAGAAATGATGATGAATCACCTCTAATTCCAACATACATGTATGATAAAACAGTGACTTTTCTATTTTATACTTTTTAAAGATAGATACCTGTTCTCTTTCTGGCTCTGGCTCTCACCCCCATTCCCATCCCCCATGTATATGAGCAGGTAATGGAAGTGTGTGTATTTTATTTAAATATATAAATGTTATATTTCTCATCTATGTGTCAGAGGCAAAAAGGGTACCTTACAGTTGAGTATCTGATGAAGTACATTACCGGTCTCTTCTCTACTCATAGGGTTGAATTTAGTGGTGTTAAAACCCACCTCAATGTTTGACAGAAAGTAATAATGACCTACATACAGCCACTCTGACCTTGGTCAATTATTTAACCCTTTCTGAATCTCAGTTTCTTCATCAGTAGAATGGAGATAATAATACCCTTCTTTTAGTGTAGCATGTATTACAAGAGCGAATTCTTATAACATTTTTATTATAGAAACATACAAAGCACTTAGAACATGTTGATATGATTACACAGATGATAATGGAGTCAGCTTGGGCTGGAAGAGGATATACGAGGGGAGACCCCCCAAAAAACAGAATTTACTTATAAAATACTGTATTGTATATTTATTCTTACATGTTTAAACTTCAGTCACCTTTAAGGTACCCTCCATTTGATGCAATACACCTATTGAGACATTTTTCCACTGCCCCAGTTACTGAATTCATCAATTTTGATGCCTTTTAGTGCTTCTGTTGTTTTTTTTTCTTCACCTTTTCCACATTGGCAAAATATTTCCCTTTGAGTCCTTTTTTTTCATTTGGGGAAACAAAAAATTACTCAGGGCAGGATTGGATGAATAGGGAGGGTGGGGCACAGGGTCATGCCGTTTTTGGTCAAAAACTGCTGAACACTTAGCGTGGTATGGACAGGTGCCCTCATAAATCACCCATCATGAAATGGGCAAAACCGCCCTGGCTGGTGTAGCTCAGTGGATTGAGCATGGGCTGCGAACCAAAGTGTCGCAGGTTCGATTCCCAGCCAGGGTACATGCCTGAGTTGTAGGCCATAACCCCCAGCAACTGCACATTGATGTCTCTCTCTCTCTCTCTCTGTCTGTCTGTCTGTCTGTCTGTCTCTCTCTCTCTCTCTCTCTCTCTCTCTCCCCCTCCCTTCCCTCTCTAAAAATAAATAAATATAATCTTTAAAAAAAGAAGAAGAAGAAGAAATGAGCAAAACCGCTGAAAGAGTCTTCAAAAATAGCCAGATTAGCCCTGGCCAGCGTGGCTCAGTTGATTGGGCATCCTGTTGCAAACCTGAAGGTTGCTGGTTCAATTCCAAGTCAGGGTACATGCCCAGGTTGCAGGCTCTGTGCCCTGCCCCTGTCAGGGCCCTTGCAGAAGGCACAAAGCAACTTGTTGATGTTTCGCTCTCACTCTCTGTCCCTTCCCCTCTCCCTAAAATGAAATAAAAAAATTTAAAAAATTTTTTCTAAATAGCCAGATTATTCGGAAATGATTTTTCTCTGCATTTTTCTCAGCCTCTGTTGTAACTGACATCTTCTAGTCTTCCAATATAAGTCCTGACTAATTTGGATTATTTTGAATTTGCCTTGACAGCTACAACTTTTTTTTAAATTTCTAGGGTCATCACCAGTATCATCACCAAGGAAGTCCTCTCGCCCAGTCATAGATTTTTTCAGTTCGAATCTTTTAGGTGACTCTTCCACAGCAGGGTCTAATTCTAGTCCTGCAGGTGTTCATGAACTAGCGGTGGGTGACCTTCTTGTTTCTGAGGAAAACCTTCAAAAGGTGGAAAGTGTACTGGATCTTTGGAGTTCGGGCCTTAAGGTACTGTTGTTGAATTAGCATGACAGTTTTGCTCTTAATTCCATTGTTTTTCTTTTCTTTGAACTAAAAAGTTTTTTTTATCTTTAGTTTTATAAAATCAGTGCAGTGTCTTAAATCTGTGCTTCTCAGTCTTTAACATCCATATAAATCACCTGGAAATCCTGTTGAATTGCAGCTTCTTGGCTTGGCGAGGGCCTGAGATGCATTTCTAATAAGCTCTCAGGTGATGCTGCTGGTTCAGAAAACATACTTTAATAGCATAGTTTTAAATAGTTGCTGGAACAGCTTTGAACATTCTACTGAATTTCTCAGAGGTTTTGAAAGACTCAGCCTGCGTGCAACTGAGACACTCATTGAGCCTTTACTGTACAGTAGCTATGACTAATGGAAATGTCTCCTTTCATATGAAACACAAAATCCAATTTTAGCAACAGATATTCATTTTATAGCCACTCTTATATTCCCACCATATATAACTGATATATCTATGAAAATTGATTCTTACTTTGGTGATGTTAGTGGCCTTTAAGTGAAACAAAGTATTATAGAAATGGCAGGGGGGTTTTTTCTATTTAAATATAATTAAGAAAATAATCATTTCTCTGAAGCAGTTTGAGACAACAAAGCTGAGTATTCACACGAGTGGATACATAATGGTCATGACAGTTCAGTGGCATCTATATTTCTCAGTTACTTGAACTATAAATTCCAGATAAAATCTTTTAGTTCCTACCATTTTCCCCATTTTCCCCAAGGGAAGAGGTTTCATGCTTCCAATCATGGTGTCAGTCAACTGCAATTGTGTACGACCAACCCTTTATATTGTTCTATATTCAGATAACATGATTATTTGGTCCTTTTACTTAGGCCAGTCAGTAGGGAGAAAATGGATCAGACTTAGCAATTTGTTAAAGTGGCCGTTGTGAGAAATGCTTTGGGGGAAGAAAGCACCAACTCCTGCGGTCCCCCCCATCCTTCCCTACCTGAATAACTTCTCAGTCCTTCGGCTCAGGTAGGGCATAGCCCCTACATTTCTTTTTTCTTGATCCATCTTAATATGGACATTTAAGTCCTTGAATAAACAAAGGACCTGTTTATTAGTGACTGAGACCTGGAATTTTTTTAAATTATGAGTTTTCATACAGAGTAGCTTAAAATAGGAAAAATTTCATAACCTTAGTATGGTGAATGTGAACTAAGAGGAACTGTAACTGTTGAACTTGTAAACATTTTCATTAGTGATTTTATTTTTAAAAAAATAATTCTCATGTTGAATGCTTGTTCTGATTTTTTTTTTAAATGTTTCTAAATTTTAGTGTCATTTTAGGAAGCACTAGTAAGGAACAAACTGCTTAGTTATTAGTATCTTTACTTTTCAGACAAACGTCATATCTGAGCTGACGAAATGGAGACTAAATTTTATTGACTGGCATCGTATAGAAATGAAAAAAGAGAAAGAGAAACATGCGGCACATTTAAAACAACTATGCAACCAGATCAACAGCTTGAAGGAGCTGCAAAAAGCCTATGAAATCTCTATTGGGAGAAAAGATGAGGTGTTCTTTTATTATATTTCTTTTTAACTAAGATTCAGTAGATGTCTTATTAAATAATAAATGCCAGGAAGTGGTTTTTTTAGGTCATGCAAGATACAAGGGGAGGATCGCTTCAGAAACTGGTAGAAAAAGAGATGCATAGATATATGATTTATTTTTCCTATTAAACATGCTATGGTCATGCCATTTATTATCTTCGAAATCAACTTTGGTGTGCTTGAAATTTTAAGTGTGCATGCTAAATGTGGGAACACTGATTTTTACTTCCTGACTGCCCTTAAGAGAACTTTAGGGAACCAGCATTATCCACGTTTTAAACCATCATTTTTAGGGATCATATTACATTTCTCACTTCTGTCCGTAATATGTTTTTATTCACAGATGAAGTCTTTTCTTTTATTGATAAACAACACTTACTTTAAATCCTCACCCAAGGACATTTTTTTTTTCATTGTTTTTAGAGAGCGGGAAAGGGAGAGAGAGAAACATCAGTTGGTTGCCTCCCTGATGGACTGGGGTTCGGACCTGCAGCCCTCTGGTACAGGACGATGCTCCAGCCAACTGAGGCACACAAGTCAGGGCAACAAGCAGCACCTTTTATTTCACTTTGGGTTAGCCCATTAAGTACTCGAGAGTCAGGTTCAGGTGTCTGCTAATTTTGTGCCTCCAGACAGCAACTGAAACAAAGCAGGTGGGCAGCAAATCTGTGGCTGCCCCAGGAGGATGGTGGCTTTCAGAGAAGAGGACTCACAGCAAAGACTTCAGCTGCTTGTCTGCAGACGCAACACTCACTGTTCTAAACAGACGTTATGACTAGATAGAATTAACTAGACAAAGATTATGGGTTTTTCAAGATAAAAAAAAAAACATACATTTCTGTTGCTATTACAAGATATAATATAAAATTGAACTTTTTCATAGTTTACTTTTTTGAAACAAGAGATATTAATGTCAGTCATTTTTCTATTGCCCTCAAAACTATATTCTAAGTTTAATATTTGAAGTTTAATGTTTTAAATTTTAAAGTATCACACATAAAGAGTTGTATGTATACATCGAATTTTTGAAAATGAAAGAAGTGAATAACCATGTGCCAATATACAGCTTAAGAAAGAGAATGTTAATATCTAAGAATGTGTGCCCTTCTCCATTTTTAAACATTTACACAATGGAATACTTACACAGCAGAGAGAAAGAATGAACTCCTACCTTTTGCGACAGCATGGATGGAACTAGAGAATGTTATGCTAAGTGAAATAAGCCAGACAGTGAAAGACGAATACCATATGATCTCACCTATAAGAGGAAACTAATGAACAAGATAAACTAATGAATAAAATAGAACCACAGGCATGGAAACATGGAACAGACTGACAGTTACCAGAGGAGAGGGGTCACGGGAGGGGGATGAGGATGGAAAAAAGAGGAAGGAACTAGTCAAAGAACAAGGGTGAATGGCCCACAGGCATGGATAGCAGTATGGGGATGGACTGTGGGAGTGGGGGGGTGGGATGGGTGGAACAGGGCAAAGAGGGAAAAATTGGGACAACTGTAATAGAGTAACAGTTTTAAAAAATGAAAATTATTTAAAGAACCAGGATAAATGTCTCTCAGTAAATGAATCCAGTTTACAAAATCTCTCTTTAATGTGGCCTTTTTTCAGATGCTTATTTCAGTTACTTGGTTCTTTATAAGAGTGAGTATTATCTTAGGATTTAAAAGATTTCATGGCTTTTTTTTTTAAGAACAAAAATAATATCACTGAGGAAGTACATCAAAGTGTAACAATTATTTGCTTTTGAGTTTATTGAATCCAGAACAAAATTATTAAACAGTTGAGAAACATCTTATTAAAGGTACTAAAGGTATTTTAGGGAATAGAAAGATGTTTAAAATCTGGCCTCTGCATTTCAATTCTAGTCAATTAAGACCTTTTTGTGTATGTAGCAAAACTTTCAACGTATGGTGGTTTTTCTAAAATTAAATGTCAGTGACCATACAGGGTTGGGCAAAAGTAGGTTTACAATTGTGAGTACATGAAACACAGAGTTTATTCTTGTATTATTTTGTAATTATTGTATTATTTTCCATATGAACAACTATAAAACTACTTTTGCCCCAGTGGTATTCATTCTTTTTTTCCCCCTATTTTAGTTTAAACTCATATTTATTTTTATTTTTTATTGTATTTTTTTCCATTGCCATTTTTGTGTATATAAAATTTTTTTGGTGATTACCAAGATACACATGAGATTTTTTTTTCTCTTTTTTTCCCCTTCATTCATTGATATGTAGTATATTCATACTGGGCGGTTTTTTGGTTTTTTAAGATAATAATGAGGTTAACTGATTCATAGGTATCCTCTAGCTTTTTTTTTTAAGATTTTATTTACTTATTTTTAGAGAAAGGGGAGGGAGAAAGAGGGAGAGAAACATCAATGTGTGGTTGCCTCTCACACGCTCCCTACTGGGGACCTGGCCTGCAGCCTAGGCATGTGCCCTGACTGGGAATTGAACCTGCGATCCTTTAGTCCGCAGGCCAGCACTCAGTCCACTGAGCCACAGCAGACAGGGTACATTTTTTGATATATGAGAAAAATCGCTTTACCAGTTGCTGTTACTACAACATCAGAATAATTGGTTTAACTGCTGCTTACAGGTGATTTCCAGCTTGTCTCATGCCATAGGCAAGCAAAAGGAAAGGATAGAGTTGATGAGAACATTCTTCTACTGGAGAATTGGCCATGTCAAATCCAGACAGGATGTAAGTATAAAAATGAAAAGATGACTGACAAATACTAAACTCCTGAACTTGAAAGTGTTTAGGATCATATATTAGAAAAAAGGTTAAAGGTTTTATTTTCTTGTAAGTCAAAATGAATTTATAATTTAATGTAGCTCTGATTTTAAATGAATTTGATTCAGTATAGTTTGGGATACAGTATAGTATAGTTATAACTATAGTTGTAGTATTGCTCATATTTTATAGATCTATTGATATGTCATTTCCTACTTCATAATACATCAATAAGAATTGTGCCTAAATTACAAATACCCTGGAATGTGCCTTTAACAGATTTGACTCAGATGAGATTATGTGGAGAAAAAATTTACAATCTTTAACATGTATGCTTCTTGTATTGTTTCTACTTCTAAAGTGCCTGAAAAAAATTCTCTCAAGAAGAGGCAATGATATATTTATACATTATAAAATTGTATAAATGTTTGTTGTGTAGACTTGCCTTAGCGTAAGAATTAAAGAAAGCCATGTCTGTATAGCTTTTTAATGATACTCACTTTGTACATAATTTAAATTTGAACATTCCTTATTTTAGTTAAATAAGAGCTGAATCAATATATCAGAGTAAATATAAACTGAGACAGAATAATAGTTTATTGTGTCAGAATCTGAAAAGTATGAGTATGGACTTCAAGTCAAGATGGAGGCATAGGTAAATATGGCTCGCCTCCTTGCACAACCACATCAAATTACAACTAAAATACAGAACAGCCATTACTCAGAACCATCAGAAATTGAGCTGAATGGAAGTCTGACAACTACGGAATTAAAGAAACCACATCCATCCAGGCTGGTAGGAGAGGCAGAGACAAGAATGGATTGGTATCACATCCATACATGGTAGATAAAAATTTGGGAGGAATATCTCAGGAGCAAGGAGTCCCAGCCCCAGCCCAGCCCAGGGTTCCAGTGCCAGGAAGAAAAGTTCCCATAACTTCTGGCTCCAAAAACCAGGGCAGATTCAGTCAATGGAAGAAATTTTTAGAATCCCAAGCAGTATCCCTTAAAGAACCCACACAGGAACTTACTCGGACTTGTTCCCTCTGAACTCCAGCACTGGGGTAGCAGTGACATACAGGGAGGAACTCAAGTGTGTGGCATCAAGGTGGGAGCTGGGGGACAGCTTTCTCCCAGACAGAAATGAAAGCAGAACCCATTGACCCTTTTCTGAGCCCTCCCCACACAGAGCCACGGAGCTGGCAGGCAGGTGCCATATCTGAGACTCTATCAAGCTGGATAACACTGTTTGCCCCACCCTGGAGATCCCAGGAGACTCCCTCCCACCCAACTTATACCCATTAATGGTGGTTTTTCCATATGATTGACTGGTCTTGGCTCAGGCTTCACAACTCTCTAAATCCTATTAACCAAACAATAGTAGGCTTCAGTATGTCCCCCAGTCCCTGAACCTCTTGTTCCATAGCCCCAGGCAGGGAGTCATAGCAGCTCTACCTAATACATAGAAACAGAAGTAGGGAGGCTTCAAAAAGAGGAGACAAAGAAACATGGCCCAAATGAAAAACAGATCAAAACTCCACAAAAAGAACTAAACAAAATATAGATAAGCAATGTATCAGATGCAGAGTTCAAAACACTGATTATAGGGATGCTAAGGAACTTAGGGAGGATCTCAGCAGCATGATAAAGGACTAGTCAAAAAGTGTATACACTAATTAAAATAAAGAACAATTTACAGGGAAACGACAGCAGAATGGATGAAGCCAAGAATCAAATCAATGATTTGGAACATAAGGAAGCAAAAAGTCAACCAATCAGAACAATAAGAAGAAAAAAGAAATTAAATTCTAAAGGTTAAAGATAAAGAAAATATCTTAAAAGCAGCAAGAGGAAAGAAATTACCTACCTACAGGGGAGTTCCCATAAGACTATCAGCTGACTTTTCAAAAGAAATTTTGCAGACCAGAAGGGATTGGCAAGAAATACTCAACGTCATGAAAAGCAGGGACCTATGGCCAAGATTGCTCTATCCAGCAAAGCTATTATTTAGAATCAGAGGGCAGCTAAAGGGCTTCCCAGACAAGAAAAAAACTAAAGGAGTGCATCATCACCAAACCATTATTATATGAAAGGTTAAAGGGACTTATTTAATAAAAAGAAGATCAAAACTATGAACAAGAAAATGGCAAAAAATACAAATTTATCAACAATTGAATCTATAAAACAAATGAAGCAAACAGGAACAGAGATAGAATTATGGATATAGTAGAGGTTTTCTAGTTGCCAGAGGGGAGGGGAGTGTGAGGGAATGGGTGAAAAGGCAGGGGGATTAAGAAGTACAAATAGATAGTCACAGAATAGCCATGGGGATGGAAAGTACAGTATAGGAAATGGAGTAACCAAAGAACTTACACACATGACCCATGGACATGAACAATGGTGGGGGGATTGCCTGAGGAAGAGTGGGGTGCTGGGTAGAGAGCGGCAAAGGGAGAAAAATTGGGACAACTATAATAGGATAATGAATAAAATTTTTTAAATTTTTGTAAATTAATAAAATGGAGTAAAAATGGCCTCTTCAACAAATGGTGTTGGAAGAACTGGACAGCTACATGCAAAAAAATGAAACTTGAGCACCAGCTTACACCATACACAAAAATGAATTCAAGGAGGATAAAAGATTTAAATACAAGCCCTGACACCATTAAAGTCCTAGAGGAGAACATAAGCAGGAAAATCTCAGATATTTCACACAGCAACATTTATACTGATAATGTCCCCTAGAGCAAGGGACATAAAGGAAAGAATAAACAAATGGGATCTCATCAAAATAAAATGCTTCTGCACGGCTAAAGAGAACAGTATTAAAATAAGAAGAGAACCAACCGTATGGAAAACATATTTGCCAATGATACCTCAGACAAGGGTTTAACTTCCAAAATATATAAAGAACTCATACGACTCCACTCTAAGAAGACAAGCAACCCAATTAAAAAATTGGCAAAGGACTTGAACAGACACTTCTCCAAGGAGGACATACAGAGGATCCAGAGACACATGAAAAGATGCTCAGTATTGCTAGCTATCAGAGAGATGCATATTAAAACCACAATGAGATACCACTTCTCACTGGTCAGAATGGCCATCATAAACAAAGCAACAAACAACAAGTGTTGGAGAGGTTGTGGAGAAAAGGGGACCCTAGTACACTGTTGGTGGGATTGCAGACTGGTACAACCACTGTGGAAAACAGTATGGAATTTTCTCAGAAAACTAAAAATGGACCTGCCTTCTGACCCAGCAATTCCACTGCTGGGATTATATCCTAAGAACCCTGAAACACCAATCCAGAAGAACCTATGCACACCAATGTTCGTAGCAGCACAATTTACAATAGCCAAGTGCTGGAAGCAACCTAGGTGCCCATCAGTAAAGGAATGGATCAAAAAACTAGATTGCATAAATTCCATTGTATATTTACAGAATGGAATTTATGCAACAGAAAGAAAGAAGGAGCTCCTACCCTTTGTGACAGCGTGGATGGAACTGGAAAGCATTATGCTAAGCGAAATAAGCCAGGTGGTAAAAGGCAAATACCATATGATCTCATCTTTAACAGGAACCTAAACAACAAAACAAACGAACAAGCAAAATATAACCAAAGACACTGAAATAGAGGACAGGCTGACAGTGACCAGAGGGGAGGGAATTTCAGGGGAGAATGGGAAGGGTTTACAAGAACAAATATAAAGGGCACATGGACAAAAACTAGGGAGGGTGGAAATGGGAGGGAGGTGGAGAGGGATGGGGGGCGGTGGGCTAGGATAGGAGTAAAAGACAGAAAACTGTACTTGAACAACAATTAAAATAAAATTTAAAAAATAAAAGTAACCAGATAAATTGAAAAAAAATTTTAATGAAAAGTATAAGTTTGTATCTATCTTAGAGTATAAAGTCTCAACAGTGTAGAGAAAGAAAACTATATATATATAAATCTTTCATGTAATGCTCATGAGACCCATCAATTGATCGCTATGCATTTAATTCTAAGAGGTTAATATTTGAGGAAAAGGTATGTCTATTATAAAATATGACTTTTTTCTTTAAGCACACCTCTTAGTACTTTCATTTTTATTAATTCCAATAGATTAAATTTACATTAAAGTGAAAAGAGCTATGTAAAATAAGTATACCATATTTTGAAAGTTATTTATCAAGTGACATAATGAGAATATATTGTTTAAATGTTAGCTAAAATAGTTGAGGCTGTCATCACTTTAAGAGCTTTTGAAATATAAGAATATTGAAAATTGGAACTACTTCAAAAGAATTTAAATTAATTGATAAAAAGAATGGCATATATTCCTGTTTGGGTCAGTTTGGCACTATATATGATGCAAAGTATGTAAATTAAGTTAATCTTGCTTATGGTTGTGGCTACTAAACCGAAGAGAGAGCAGTGCCACCTGAAGCCACAGTCCGCTTCCTACCTTCCAGCCACTGTTGTTCTCCTTGCCCTGCTTTCAGCTCAAGGGCATGCAGATTCTGAACTAAGATGGCAATTGGCAAGTTACTCATTTTCTTTCACTTGTTTGTTGTTGTTGTTTCCCTAACTCAATTAGTTACTTAAAATGATGTAAGGGATACGAAAGAGTTTCGGCTCTGGGATAAAACAAGGACGGCTTTTTCCTATCTGCTGTGTGACCTGGGCAGATTACTTAACCACTCTAAGTCTGTTCTCCTTTCTGCAGATAATAATTACACAGGATTGAATGATAATGTATGTATAATGCTTACCACACTGTTACATGTCTTATTACAGCCGGAATATTTTCCAGTACACTCTGTTTTAAGGTTATATCACTTCATGTAGGTTTATGAAGGTAAACTAGCTGACCAGCACTTCCAAAGAACTTTGCTGAAGAAAGTCTGGAGAGCCTGGCGTTCCACAGTGCAGAAGAAGTGGAAAGACGTGGTGGAGCGAGCTTGTCAAGCAAGAGCTGAAGAAGTTTGTGTCCAGATTTCCAATGATTATGAAGCCAAAGTTGCTATGGTAAAACATTTTCTTTATAATTTTCACTTTCCTTTAATAGAAAGAAATAAAGATGGGTAGCATCACTCACAGTCTGTAGTTGGGCAGCGTGACCTAGCTCTCTAATTCCATTTAATGCAGTTTGTCTTCAGATGAGACTACTTGACTATTTGGGAAAGAACAACACTAAGTCAGACTTCCAGGCTTATTTATTCTTTCAAATATTATAACTCTTATGGCCTCCAAACTTGTGTTGAATCTTGTTTGTAGACGTGTACCTGTCTCTTGAAAATGTAAATCACCCATAGATCCCCTACATCTCTAAGATAGTGCACTTACTTATGCTCTTCTTTGGCTTTTATTTTGCCAAGAATAGAGACCAAAAAAAAAAATGTTTATCGTCTTAATGTAAATGAACTTTTTTTATATAAGGTTGATTTAAAGCAGTTGTATATAAATTGGAATTATTTTCCCGTTGACTTTTAATAATAAAATGAGCATTGTTTCCATGGGAATACATTTAAAACTCAAAGTGAAATAAAAACCATACTGAAGAATGCAATAGGCCTCTTGAAATCAAATACTAATAGGGAAAAAATCATCATTATAGTACGGGTTCTTAATATTAAAAGTCAGTGTCATAATACAGATAATTTTCTGCAATTGCAAATGACATGCAAGAGTCTGTTTAGATTTGCTCTATGGGAAAGTGTATTGTAACTAATACCACTTTGCACTGTGAATTCTGTAGTAACATTTAGTTTTTTAAAATTCTGTTAATATTGCATGCATTTAGTTATTTTTTTTTTCTAAAGTGTTGAGGGCTATCTGTGGCCCTTAATGTATTTTGTTCAACATCCTACATAAAAGATTTACAGTAAAAACTGGCATTATCTTTTTGTATAATTAAAACACATCAGCAACCTTCAGTGGGACTGGTATGAAATTCCCTTTGTTTGAACTTTGACTTCCTGGTTAGAAATGAAAATGGTTTGTTGACAGAAACAAAAGAAATTGAGACACGTAGCAGAAGAGGTATGTGGGAAATTGTATTTAGTATTTCACATAAAAATAACTTCACAGAATAAATTTATTTTTAACAATAAATAATATTCTTCCTTATGAATCTTTTTCTTTTAACAAACAACAAAACTCCTTATTTTAGTTATCTGGAGCTTTGGAAAATGCAAAAGCTGAAATCCAAAGAATGCAGCATGAAAAAGAGCAGTTTGAAGATTCCATGAAGAAAGCTTTCATGCGGGGTGTTTGTGCATTAAATCTTGAAGCCATGACAATATTTCAAAACAGAAATGATACAGGTTAGTGTCTTACTTATGATTCTCTGCCTACTTTCAGAAAGGACTTGGGATTTCAGTGACTGGTACGGCCTACAGTGCTAATTTTCTGCAACAGCTATGTCTCATCCAGGCACTGTATTTTTAACTTCATAGTGTCGTTCCATTTCCAGTTTTAAATGTCATGAACATTCACTCCTGTGGGGTTACTTATGGTATCTTAGATATGAACAAGTAAACTGTCAACTCTTAAGTATTTAGGTTCAATGTTACCATAATGCTTTGAATGTGTAACATTTTTAAGGCTCTTTAATAATTATAATGCCTTTAAGTTCAAAACTTCTATTGTTTTTTTCCTAAGTAGCCAAATTCCTTGGACTATTTTTTTAATTAAATATTTCTTATCTGGTCATGGTTTCCTGTTTTTGAATATCGCTTATTTTCCAGTTTAAGAGAAACCTCAACTAAAATTCAGTTTCAATAGTTATAAACACAGGACTATCTATAGAAGTAAAAAAATAATAATAATTTAATTTCAAGAAAAGTCCATATATTGCCTTGGATCTGAGTTGTTTGTGTCAGTTTCATCACCATGGCTTGGAAGAGCATATGACAGAATCCTTTGCCACCAATTTACAATTAGCCCTATTTTCCTTATTGGGTTTTAGTTTTCTTATCTGAATAAAGAAGATAATTTACCTTTTATTACCTGCTTAATAGGTGGTTCTTGTGGGAATACAGTGAAATATACTTGAAAACACTTTAAAAGACAAAAAATACTTGGGCCTGTAAAATGATAATTGTGATATGGTTACTGTAGTCTTCATTTATTCAAGTTGGCCTCCCGTGCTTCATGCAAACACATGAGTATTTTTGCAGTATTATAGTAAATCCTATTTGAGACTCATGGTTAACTTATCAATGAGACAATTTCATTTCGTAACAGCATTAACATGATTCCATTCCAGGGAATCACTCCTCTGTGCTTGTTGTGCCTCATTTTTGTGCATCAACAAACTTTTATTATTTAAATTGTTCATGTTGCGGGTGGCAGTGAGTTAAGGCAAATTTTCTCTCTGAAACAGTTTGACTGTGTGGCCCATATGTAAGTTAGAAACTTAGAATTATAGATTATCAAAGCTAAATAGTTTATCTTGCCGATACCCCAAGTGTGCTTGATTTCTGTAATAAATGGTCTTTTAATTAAGTATCAATGCTGAAAACAACTCACTATCTCCAATAATAGGACAGTCTGCTTTCAGTTCTAATTATTAGCAAGTTATATGTATTAAATTAAAAATTTACTTGTCTACTTAGAGGAGATATTGGGCTTCACAAGGTGACAAATTATTATTAAAACATATATAATTTCTTTAATCTGTTTCTCATAATCTACTTATGAAGATTATGAATTGACTTAGGACAAAGTATTTTGCCACTTTTATAAACTGAATATCTTAAATAAATACAGCTGTCTCCTACAGGCAAACATTCATAATAGGATTCAGAGAAAATACACTCTGATAATTACCAAACATGATTTGTTTTGTTCCTGTTGCATTCACATTAGCATCTTCTGTGGTTAATGTCAAGTTCTGGGAACCCAGCTGTTTTGAGTGGCCTTGTTAATCTTAACAGTGAGGGACAGATATAACAGGAATAAGAAGACATAGAGTTAAGCAATAATGTTGGTGGAGCTACCAAAGGCAAAAGTTCAGTGTACGAGGCAAGACCAAAAAAAACAGGAATTATCTTCTGGAGGGCGGGCCCCTTGTAATGCAGGCTTCCCCCACTAGGTGAATGTTCTAGGAACTCCTCTGTATCAGTGTACCAGCTGATGGTGTTGTGAGAGTTTGTGTTTGGCTCCAGTGAATTTTTTTGAAGACTCTTTTAATGTTTGTCCATTTCATGATGGCTGATTTACAAGTGCAATTCCCCACACTGTGCTGAGTGTTCAGCAGTTTTTGACGAAATATGGCATGACCCCTGTGCCCCACCATACCTATTCACCTGATCTCACCCTGCAAGACTTTTTTTGTTCTTTTCCTGGATGAAAAAAATCCTCAAAGGGAAATGTCTTGTTGATGTGGAAGAAGTGAAACAAAAAAACAGCAGAAACACTAAAAGGCATAACATTAATGAGTTCAGAAACTGTTTTGAGCAGTAGAAAAAAGTTTCAATAGGCGTAGTGCATCAAATGGAGGGTACCTTGAAGGTGACTGAAGTTTAAACACATAAGAATAAATACACAGTTTTTTATAAATAAATTCCAGGGTTTAGGGGGGTCCCCTCTCATAATCTAATGCTGGATTTGCTCTGTGATGTTTAGGTTTTATGGCATTTTAAAGACAGTTGTTAATTCTCACAAGAAAAAAATTACATTTGGCCCCTTCTTTTAAACATTTGCTTTTTATAATGCAATTTTTTGTTAAAAAAAATTTTAATCCTCACCCAAGGATATGTTTATTGATCTTAGAGAGAAAGGGGGCAGAGAGAGAGAAACAAACGTCAATGTGAGAGAGAAGCAGCGATCACTTGCCTCCCATACCCCAACCAGGGATAGAACCTGCAATCTAGGTCTGTGCCCTGACCAGGAATCGAACCTGCCATCTTTTGGTGTATGGGACAGGGCTCCAACCACCTGAGCCACCCAGCCAGGGCATAATGCAATTTTTAATAATGCCAATGTTCCTAATATATCTGTCTTGTTAGAACAAAACTAGTATTTGATTTTTTTATTTGTCCTGATTCTCTGCTGTCTGTCATCTGTAGTGCATCTCAGTTTATGGAAGTTAAAGTAAGAATAATTATGAAAACTTAGTTATTTCACAAACAGGAAGTGTATACGTCCACCCACATCAGTGAGAGTTGGTCCACCTCTCTTTTCTTCCAGGGAGTCCCTTGGCCAGACATGACCTGTGCATTGGTCCCACATCTCATACGAAGTCTACCACCCACCTAGAAAGTGACAGTCAGAATCACTTTCTATCAAAAACATGTTAAAACTCAGTGTGTGTATGTGTGTGTGTATTTCAAAGTAAAAGTATTTTATATTGAATTAGTCCCTTTTATCAAATGATTTCAAAAGACCCCTGCATTATAATCCTCATTAAACTTTGTTAATAAAGCTTACATATTTTACACACATTTAGTCTAAGAAAAGGACTTATTCCAAGGCCCAAATTTGTAGATGGAAAGAGAATAACATAGAAAACTATTTATCCACAGGGTTACACACTCTATTTAGATAGTCTGAAACATCTCAGTGACTGAATTGTGAAACCCTCACCCTGGTCTTTGGCATCACATAGAGTTTTAGAAATTTTAACCAAATTTTAATACTGGGAGCAAAAACTCTAAAAAGTACCCTTTATCCTAGCTTGTGGAAGCTGATATTCACTCCCTTGACCTAAGGAGAGAAGGTTACATGTGTTTCATAAAAATCAGTTAAGTGTGCAAAATATGCTCTTAATTCATGACTTACATAATCTACCTGCAAGAGCTCATTTTTTTTTACAATGTCAAAATTTACTTACTGATTTATTATTATTTGCTGGAAAATCAAAAATAAAAATACATTGTTTTGGTTAGGAGAGGAGCAACAGAAGGAAAAGAGTGTATAGTGATACAAAATTATTCTAAAGATCTAAATAACAGGTCATTTATCGGGGTAGTTGCATGAAATAATGTGAAAGGGCATGTGTCCTTAGGCTTGTGCAGTCTTACTATTGTAATGGTTGTGACTGCAGTACACTTTACTCAACTGAGGTTCTGCCTGAGCACATAATTTATTTTTATCTTTTAAATAAGAGCAAGCCATTCATTAGCTTTTACATGTTGAAAGAAGTGGTCTGAAGTCTTTAGTGGTTAATGCTGACATTAACCAGTTAATACTGACAAACTAGTAGCTGAACATTGTGTCCAATCTATGACAAATTTCTACACTTCTATTAAAACCAAATTGTAGAGACTTCCGGCCAAGATGGAGGCATAGGTAGATACACTTTGCCTCCTTGCACAACCAAAAGAAGACAACAACAAATGTAAAAACTAAAAAAAAAAAAAAAAACCCAGAAGTGCCAGAAAATCAAACTGTATGGAAGTCCAACAACCAAGAATTAAAGAAGAAACACTCATCAAGGCCAGTAGGAAGAGTGGAGACGGCAGCTGGGCAGAGAGGACTCAAGGCAAGGCAGGGGCTAGTGGAGCTGGCAGTCCCACATTGACGTGCGGATAAACCAGGAGAAACAACTGGTGAGTGAGACAAACCACGCAACCCAGGGCTCCAGCGAGGGAGACATACAGCCTCAAAATACCAATTGAAAACACCTGTGGGGGTTGAGGCAGCAGCGGGAGAAACTCACAGCCTCACAGGAGAGTTCGTTGGAGAGACCCATAGGGTCCTAGAATGCACACAAACCCACCCAAACCGGGAATCAGTACCTGAAAGGCCCAATTTGCTCGTGGGTAGTGGAAGAAGTGACTGAAAGCTGGCAGAGAGTGGAGCAAGCAGCACTGTTCCCTCTGGATCCCTCCCCCACATACAGCATCACCAAGCAGCGATATGGGTTGCCCCACCCTGGTAAACACCTAAGACTCTGCCTCTTACTACGTAACAGGTGCTCCAAGGCAAAAAAAAACATGGCCCAAATGAAAGAACAAATCAAAGCTCTAGAAAAAATACAACTAAGTGATGAAGAGATAGCCAATCTATCAGATGCAGAGTTCAAAACAGTGGTAATCAGAATGCTCACAGAAATGGTTGAGTATGGTCGCAAAAGAGAGGAAAAAGTGAAGGCTATGCAAAGTGAAATAAAGGAACACGTATAGGGAACCAACAATGAAGGGAAGGAAACCAGGACTCAAATCAATGATTTGGAGCAGAAAGAAGAAACAAACATTCAACCAAAACAGAATGAAGAAACAAGAATTGGGGGCAGGGGCGGGGACAGGAGAGGCTTAGGAACCTCCAGGACAACTTTAAATGTTCCAACATCCAAGACATAGGGGTGCCAGAAGGAGAAGAGCAATAAATTGAAAACTTACTTGGAAAACATAATGAAGGAAAACTTCCCTAATCTGGCAAAGGAAATAGACTTCCAGGAAGTCCAGGAAGCTCAGAGAGTCCCAAAGAAGTTGGACCCAAGGAGGAACAAATGAAGGCACATCATAATTACATTACCCAAGATGAAAGATAAGGAATCTTAAAAGCAGCAAAAGAAAAGGAGACAGTTACTGACAAAGGAGTTCCCATAAGACTATCAGCTGATTTCTCAAAAGAAACCTTGCAGGCAAGAAGGGGCCAGAAAGAAGTATTCGAAATCGTGAAAGGCAAGGACCTACATCCAAGATGACTCTATCCAGTAAAGCTATCATTTAGAATGGAAGGGCAGATAAAGTGCTTCCCAGATAAGGTCAAGTTCAAGGAGTTCATCATCACCCAGCCCGTACTAGAAGAAATGTTAAATGGACTTATCTTAAAAAAAAGATGATCAAAAATACAAACAGTAAAATGACAACAAACTTACAACTATCAACAATTGAACCAAAAAAACAAAACCGAACTAAGCAACCAACCAGAACAGGAACAGAATCACAGAAATGGAGATCATGTGGATGGTTATCAGCAGGGAGGGGGCGGGGGAAGAATCAGGGAAAAGGTACAGGGAATAAGAAGCATAAATGGTAGGTACAAAATAGACAGGGGGAGGTTAAGAATAGTATAGGAAATGGAGAAGCCCAAGAACTTATATGTATGACCCATGGACATGAACTAAGGTGGTAGAATGATGGTGGTAGGGGAGGTACAGGGTAGAGGGGAACAGAGGGGAGAAAAAAATGGGACAACTGTAATAGCATCATCAATAAGCTATATCAAAATTAAAAAAACAAATTGTAGCTATTATATATTTTTTTCCTATTTTTTCTTATCCCCTTTATCCCCCTCCTCCCTATGACCTACCTATTATGTATTTTTATTGTTGGGGGGTGGGGGTGAAAGCAATCTTGGTAGAATTTTAATGGAATTAATTTGTAATTTATAGGGGTAGACTTCACAAATAATAAAAAGGAAGAATATGGTCCCAGTGTTCAAGGAAAAGAACATCCTGTTCATTTGGATTCTTCGGTACCCTCAGCAGTTGCACCAGCACCATCCTCATCAGCAGCCACTGTGGGAGTGACCAGCACTGCTGCATTTCCCTCTGTGGCTTCCATCACTTCCACCGGGGCTGCTTCCGCTTCCTACACCCACCTTCCTGTTTCCGCTCCTCTCGGTGCTGGACCTACAGCTCCTGCTGCACCGGAAGAAATGGTTAGTGAGGTCCATGTGGGTGCCTGCGCTGGGAAAGTGTTCCTGACTTGTTTGCATATTGGATATTTTGAACTTAGAACATACTATCTCATGGAGAAAAACGCCTATATGGTTTTAGGCCAAGTCACAGAAAGTAATACACAAAGTGGCTAAAACATTAATTTGTAAGTTCTATTAAAACTTCTATTACAGTAGTGATAATTGAACAAAACTAAATAACTTCTTCATTTTACATTTGCCAGAACTACTTGGGAAAAATAGATTTAATTTAGAGGGTTTTTTTAATTTTAAAGAAAACTTGTTATATTAAAGGACTTACTAGGTAATGGCCCTTTTGTATATTTGCTGTTCAACGGCAGCTTTCCCTTTTCCTGGATGCAGGATATTATTAACAGTACTACTCCATAGTAACACCGTCTTGATTTGGTTAGGCTTTAATTTTTGATTCACAAATGAAGTGAAAATAGGAACAGTGTTCCTAGAGTCACCATTACAGAATGCTTAGAGCGGAAGAGTGTTGTCTGGGAGTGGAGTAATTGTGCAAGAACTGGCGCAAAGTGAAAAGAACCATGCTGTTAAAACATGGTAAGAAAACATGGCAGAGAGAGCAAGTACCTTGTGCTTCTGACTCCTCAGCCTCCTGGTGCTAAACCTGTACCTTCAATGTTTCTCAGAGAAAAGGTGTAGGGATACAAGGCAAGCTTATCAGGCTCACCTCTGCAGGGCTTTGTTTTAAAACACTATACCCTTCCCTCCTCTAGCTCAGCATAAAGTCATGTATAATTTTGTAAAGATCCTGAGATGGTTTTGATGTGCTTGTCTCCCTCTTCTTCCCACCTGACCACTTACACAGGAGGAAAGGTAATGGCAGAGCAGGTCTTAGGTCTTACTGTCCCCCTGCAGGCCATCAGAAGGCACCTTTGCTCAGAGTCAGCAGGGCAACTGGTCATCCTTAGCATTCCAGCTGCCTTCTGGGAACTGCTAACTTTAAGGGAAAATATATTGAGATCTGCTCTTTATCATGTTTGCTCTTGATTGAAAGAAGTTTAAAAAAATGTTAAGAGAAACTTGAATGTGTGAGGGAGCTTTGACTTAGAAATAAGACACCAAAATTCAACCCTGAATATATTCAGCTGTGTTTATTTTTCATGATTATGCACTTTGATTTGTGATTCTATACAGATGATCTCATTTAAATAAACATTTAAATTTCTGGTTTGTCATTCATATTGCATATAACACACATGAGCTAGATTTTTTCAAAATTCTCTTAAAATGTGACTACACCATTTATTCATCTGCATTTATATATAAATCTGAAGATGCATGGGAAGAATTGAATGAATGAGTGTGCTTACCACACTTTTTGTTACTAACTTTTAAACACAATTGATCACCTGAGTTAATTTTGAAGTCTTTGAAACTTGAAAAACAGCCCTTCTTCAATCCCACCCCTCCAGCTATGTTCTACTCCTGCAGAAACAAATACACATTCAGTTTCATCCACAGATGTATAGCCTGTAGGGCTGGGGAGAGAAGAGAACCACAAATCAAAGTGTAAGGCTAGTTTTGTCCTTCCTTGTATAATTATAATACTCAGATTCACCTCAATATGTCTTCTTGTTTTTAAAAAGAACCAAAATAACAAAAGTAGGATTTACAGTTGTTCAATTTAATGCAATAAATAATAATACAAGAATAAGCTCTGTTTGTGTGCCCACAACTGTACACCTCCTTTCCCCCACCCTGTAAATTAGCTGGATAACTTACCTAGTGTGAAATCATCATTGTTAGGAACAGGAAAAGAAGAGAGATTCGTGATCCAGACCTAGTTATTGTTCTCTCCATTTTACTCACAGAGGCTTCCTGCGGACACTCAAAACTTTTTCCAGTCTTCCTCAGTACATCCACCAGCTAAAGGGAAGAGTGTGATTTGGGAAACAAGTAACTGGAGAAAGGAGGATAATCATTCTAGTGAAGTAATCTCCTCACTTGCAAAAGTCTTTCCTTTCTGCATACATTCTCAATATGTTAAATTTCAGAATTTCATGGTAGGAAACATTTTTCAAAAAAAAAACATTAAGCAGTTATACAAGCAAATAAATTGCAGTTCATGAGTTTGAACAATAGGTGGTGCTTTGCTTTTTCTAACTGCATTTGAGATATATAACTGAGGGATTTTGTTGGATTTTTAAGCTATTTAGTAAAGTTTATCTTCTAACTTTTTCTTCATCTGAATGAATATGAAAGGGTATCATTAGGCCATTGCTGCTGCTCTCCCATTTTGTAAATGACGAGCTTGAGGCTTAGAGAGAGTAACGTGGCTGTGGACACAATTAATAACAGAAGTAGAATATAAAATACTGCAGTTCCCTTTCTTTTCTTATTCCTTTTGCTTTTGGCCCAGCTAATGTAATTAGCTGACAGAAGGAAAAAGTGAGTACACATATGTATTGCTCCTGATGTAAATATTTTTTACGAAGCACTGTCAAGCAGGAAGCAACAAAAGCTGTAAAAGCTCCCGTGTGTGACCTTTTGATCAGATTATTGCACTGTTTTGCAGTATATTCTACAGGAAATCTCATAAGAAAATTGGAATTCTTTTTTTTACAAAACTTTGCTATGTATAATAGTAAGAGAACTGAGATAATTAGATAAACTGCAGTTTGTTGGCTTTAAAATCTCTCAAAAATTATAGCAATTCTCTATTCATGGAAAAGTACGCTAAAAAAGCTAAGAAAAAAGGCAGAACACAAAGCATTTGATTAATGATGATATTAATCATGCATAAGGGTCAGAAGAGTTCATAAAACAGATGAGTGGTTGCCCAGGGCTAGGGGTGGTGGGGGAAGGGAGATGGAGATGACTGAAGGGTGTGTGAGGGAGGTCTTTGTGGTGATGGGATAGTTCTATGTGATGGTTCTTGATTGCTGTGACAGTTACAGGAATCCACACATGTAATAAAGTGATACAGATCTGTGCCCATGCATTATGTCAACGTTAGCTATCTGGTTTTAATATCACAATTATCGGGGTGAAGAATACTCAGGATCTCTCTACACCTTCTTGGCAACTTCCTATAAATCTATAATTACTTCTAAATAAAATTCCTTTAAAAACTTTATGAAGTCCTATAAAATAGTTGGCATACCAAAGTTAAAGTTTTGCAGTGCTCGGTTTTATGTTTTGATTTTTGTCTCATTGTTTTAAATTTTTATATTTTCCACGTTAAAGTTGGTTCAGTATACAATTACTTTAAGTGCCTATGTATTTTCTTCATAAGTTATAGAACCAACAGTACTGTAAATTTGGCTGTGGATTTTCTACCAACTGGGTATTTCTTTGCTTCTTTAGCACGTACCCAGAGTTGTGACATCTGCACAGCAGAAAGCTGGAAGGACAATTACGGCCCGCATCACAGGGAGATGTGACTTCGCTTCAAAACACAGAATTAGCAGCAGTTTAGCTATAATGGGAGTTTCTCCTCCCATGAGCTCAGTTGTTGTGGAAAAACATCATCCAGTCACGGTGGTGAGTCCGCATTTAATAACCTTTTGTCAAAATCATTTTCCTGAGATTTGTACACAATTAAACACTTAAATGACATGCTGAGGAGATCAACATTCATGATGACCAGTTCTTATTCTGCCTTCTACTGTTATGTCTTTCTACACTTAGAATGATCACACCTGCTCTGAATCTGCCTTTTTTCTTTTAAGAAATTAATTTCAAAAACATTGTTTCTTCTCAATAGTGTAAAAATGATCAAATACAAAAAGTAATCTAGTACGTCAATGGTCAGAAGGGTAAAATATATAAATAATTACTCATTAATTTAAAAAAATAATGAAAAACAGTCAACTCATTAACTAGCTGTCCATGTAGCAGGTTTTTGATTACAAGAAACACTTCCCTACTTTAATTTTTGCTCCTTTTAAAAAAAGTCATCTTCCCCTTTTTCAATACAATTGTTGGCATATTTCTAGTTAGGAAAAAAATTCAATTTACTATAAATGCATGTGCCATAAAGAAAAGTATATGGAATTTAAGCAATAATAAACAAAAATACCCCTAAGTTAGTGCCCCAGTTGTGCTACTTATTGCCTTTGTGATCATATGGAAAACAAGTAAAATATGGGGGCCTCCATGTTCTCTTGTGTAAAATGGGAGTGATGAGACTACTTAGCTCCTAGGGTTTATTGTCAGAATTTAGGGTTAATGTGAAAGTTAAATGAGATGTAGAAAGGTACTTTGTAAACTGTAAACTATAAGCAAATTTAATTTAATAAAAATTACTAGGGAAGGATACAGGGGTACCTCTGTACTATTTCTTATAAACTGTATGTAATCAATAATTATGTCAAAAAGTTTAATTTTTAAAGCTATAAGACTATATCCCTAAAGAGAAACAGGATTGATTTCAAAAGAGAATAGCCCTCTATATAAATTCTCAATATTAGACAACATCCTGCCTGCTCAGTACGTCAGAGTATCAGCAAAAAAGACATATGGAATGATTTTAAATCCTTTTTATTCTGGTCACTAGATTAAGTCCAGAGAAGCTGGACTGATGATTTAAATTTAGCCTCAGGTAAAGTGTGACCACAGTGAGGTGGAAGACTGACACAGAGGCACCAGTCAGATAGAGGACGGGGAGGGGGAGGGCCGTCGCAGGCTTCATAAACTGGATGGACTCTGAAAGTCCTTAGATGACATCTCTATGTATTGTTTAATATGTGAGATCATCAGAAATGAGAAGACATGAACACATTTTATTTTTATCAGCACTTACGAGGTATATAAGGATGTCCACTGAGACAAAGAAGGCTCACAGAACACATGTGTTTATTTTTAATTTAGACAACCTTTTGCTTTTGGATCAATAATAGAAATTCATGTTTTACAGAAGAGAAATAAGGAACTGAACTAAAGACTTATAACCTGTTTATGATGTTTATCTCCCAAACTGCCCTTTGCTTATTCAGCTCATGCAGCACTTCTCCAGTAACTGGCCAGGAATCAGAAAGCCACACACAGCTCCAATCGTTGCCTAATTTGGATTATGTGACAGACACGGTGGCAGTCCTCTGTAAAATTTTTCACCTTTCCCCAGGAATCAAAATCTAGAACTACTAGAAACACTTATTACTAATAAAACAGTAATCAAATCTCTGACACTGTAGCCCCACCTGCGGGGTGATTGCTTGCCCCTAGGGCTACTTCATTCCGGATTTTGTAGACCATGATAACAGTGGTAACGCAAATCCACTTCCACAGTTCCTCTTGCCCGTCCTCCTCAAGGAAAAATACCTCTTTGAACAGGGTTAGATTAGGGGGTTAGCAACTAAAATTTCATACTAGTGGCAAGAATATCTTCCATTTGTAATGATTACCCAGTTATTTATGTACAAGGAAACATTTATATAAAATACTTTAAGAAGGTTATTTTTCCATTTTATTAAAAAGGAACTTTTATTCTTAAAGCAGAATCTAAAATGAAGACCTGCATAGCTGTGTCATAGAGCTTTTGAAATATATAGTGAATGTTTTTTTGTTTGTTTTTTTTTAAGATCTTATTTATTTATTTTTAGAGAGGGAAGGGAGGGAGAAAGAGAGAGAGAGAGACATCAGTGTGCGGTTGCTGGGGGCCGTGGCCTGCAACCCAGGCATGTGCCCTGACTGGGAATTGAACCTGCGACACTTTGGTTCACAGCCCGCGCTCAATCCACTGAGCTACACCAGCCAGGGCTTATAGTGAATGTTTTAATCAAATATATAATTTTACTTCAAGTATTTGAGATGACTTTTCTAAGTAGAAGACTGAATCAGAATCTATATGTGCTGGTCAGTGACATGGACTGAGTGACTCATCTGCATAACAAATCCCACTACTGCCTACTAAGAAGCTGTTTTGGCTATAATACAGGAAAGTTTTATATGTGTATATATTATGCATGTGTATACATGTAACATGTACTTATGAACATAGTATGAACTTGAACGTCTTGCATGTACAGGTGAAGGCATATATGCCCTGACTTTAATGGTTCAGTGCTCATGTCTAAGATTTCCTCTGAGCATGGACACAGTGCACACATCCTCCCCTCAGCAGAGGGGCTCAGCATCTAGTTATCTCTTTACGTATTTAGAAAGTTGTGGTCCATATTAAGAGAGCACCAGGCCTCTAGGAAGACTACCTCATGTGTGATCATAAAATGTTTAGTCAACTCCCAGGTGAACCAGGTGAAATATGAGGGACCTGCTTTACACTGGTTTGAAGCAAGGACCAGACCGGATTCCTCCAGGGCTTCCTGCATGTTCCCCAGGATTGGACTCCACATATTTACAATCGGATACGAGGAGGAGGAAGTTGGATAGAATGAGCGGATAGGAGAGCTTGGGGTGGACCCTTCTTCCAAACACCACAAAGTCCCTTTCTATACTTAGCTTCTATAAACATGACAAGATTCCACCCACCCGAGGCCTCCTTGAGGAATAGATGGCTCCCATGGCTCTTCTCGTGCTCCTCTGGAGTACAGCTCTGGTGCAGACTGTGGGTATTGGGCAGTCAGTCTAACTGGTGGGGTTCCTTACAGATAAGGACCACATCTTGTTTGTTTTAATGGCTGCTTCATCCAATTCATTGCTTATATCCACTGATACAATGATTGTTGGGTTAAATTATAGATGATAAAATGATATTTAATATGTATAATTTTATGGGATTATTAAAACAGGTTTTTATCTTTTCAGCAAACCATTCCTCAAGCTGCTGCAGCAAAATATCCCCGGACTATTCATCCTGAAAGTACTACTTTGGCTTCCAGATCTCTGGGAACCAGATCAACTCATACTCAGTCTCTCGCAAGCGTTCATTCCATCAAAGTGGTTGACTAAAATGCATATGTTCATATTAGGATCTTTTATTTTAAGTCCTCTGGTTTTATCAAGGATTAGAAGTCGTTAGTTTTACATTTTTCCATCGTGGATACATGATGCTCATCTTTTCAAAATCACAAGAGACTTTTTCAAGCCACACCATCATTTGTAACTATATGTAGGATTATTTTAATGTTATTTTTTAATTTAAGCAATTAAGTAAAACTTTTTTAAATTAAAAAGAAATTGGACTATATTTTTTAATAGATTCAGCCTGTGGCTGATTATATCATCAAAGTATATAAATTCTATTCTCTATATATTATTCCAAAATTAATCATTTCCCGTGTTACCAAGTAAACTTTTCAAAGGTGTACTTTAAAAATTATTAAAACTATTAGAAACTAAGGTATTTTTATCTTTAAGTGAAAAAGATAAAGACTAAGAGTAATATTTTCATCACAAATTTTTTTGTGACTATAGTATATTTATCTTCATTTTCTAGTACTTTAGTAATTAAAAGTAGGGGGAAATAGCAATACCTATGAATAATTTTTAATGTTAAAAGGGGGAAATTTACTAGCACAAAAACAGTTACAGAAACATCAGAAGAAAATTTTCTTTTAGTCAACCTATTTCTGATATTCCTCCTCACCTCTTTTGAAACTATAGTTTTGAACTCATATTGTGTTCTCTGAACATCCACAGCATCCTGTGGTAGTGTAGCCCTGGGCAACGCAGCAAACCTTCCAAGCCTGGCAGAGACTTTTCACTGGCTGGCCACTAGGAGGAAACCACCAGGGTGAAACTGAGCCATAGCAGGACCAGGCTTTTAATGGTTTGACTGCTGGCTGCCTGGGCTGAAGTACTTATGGGTTACCTAAAAACAAGTAGAGTCTGGAGGATCTGTCTAGGACCTCAATTTCTATATTTTTAACAGAAATAGATATATTTAATAATCTAAAGCCTCTTCCATTTTGAACATGACCTAGCTGTATGCTCTAATAGTACTACAGGAAACAGTTTTTTCTTACTGCCTTACATTGTCAACAGGACATCAGAGAATATGTGAGATAGGCAAATACCTCATTTTTTAAAGGGGCCAACAAAGGCTTTTGTGAATTATTAGGAGTACCTGGCCATGTCTTAAAGAGTGTTAGATCCTTCCCATGCAACACTTGTCCTGGGTTCTGGCCAAGCTACTCCTGAGGCTAACAGCTCACGGATAAGCACAAACTAACAGCACCTCCTCCGCTGCCTAGGCTAGGGGCATACTCCTCCCCAGGGCTTCCCCCACTCTCAGTCCAGTCATCAGAGATGGGCGGGCTTTGTGTTGTGGTAAACAGGTCAGTTCCTCCTCTCCCCACTGTGTGAACTGTCCTGAGATGCACAGCCATCCCGTCTCTCATCTCTTGGAAGAGAGTGCCCTCCAGGGCAAATCAGTTGTACTTGATACCCAGTGGCAGCCAATTTAGTAATTTACCCTGGTCTTGGCTCTCCCTCCTTCCCCACATCACCCCTTTCCTTCTCTCCTGTTTCCTTGGATTTGCACTCCTGAAAAAGGCAGTGGCACACAAACTTGGGCTTCAGGCTTTGCTTTTTGAAGGATCTAGATTACAATTAGGAGTGGTTTTCAGTATGCAAGCCCTAACCCTGTGGACAAAATGAAGGCCATTTTATGAACACTAATTAAGAATATTATAAGTATCTTTTTAAACTTTACCTGAGTTCTGAAAACTATATATTGTCTAAAGCATCAAGTAATTAGTGTTAGCCTACGTTAACTTAAATTTAATGATTAAAACACTTTGTACAATAAGAGTATGTTTTCATATTTATTTTTATATAAAGAGGTTACCAGATTTGGGGGGAAGAGGATTGGCAGTCACTAGAAACTGACCAGATTGAAGACCACATGGAGGCAAGACTTTTCACTGAATACCTTTGTTAAAAACTTTGGGGAATCATGTGAACACGTTACCTTTTTTAAACACTCAGAATGTTACATGGGCCAAAAATGTGGAACTATAATTCACGATAGAATAACTGGACCAAAATTGCTCATGATATTATTTCTGGCCTTATAGACCTGGAGTCAGAATTTGAGAATGAAGGGCCTTAAATTTTAATGAATAGGTGCATATATGCTAACATAAATTGATATACTTGATTTCATATTTATTTAGTAACTTTCTCAGATTATAAAAATAATACATGTTCATTGTGAAAAAAACTGGAAAGTACCAAAAAGTACAAGGAAAATAAAATCACCTATAATTAAATCCCCAAGAGAAAAAAAATATTGGTATATATGCTTTGGTCTTCTTAAGTAAAATATTACACATATGTGTATTTAAAGCCAACAGCACCTACAAATTTCCAAAGCCAGTTTCTCTTACAAAGGAAATAGTAAGTAGTTAATGATTTCACACTATGGGCATGAGGTGACACATTTCACAGGTATTGTCCCTTCATCCTCAGCAAAATGCTAGGGTAGGCATTTCTCCCATTTTGTAGAGAAGGAAACTGAAAATTTGGGGATTTGAATATTAGAATGCCCAAAGGTTCATAAATAAGTGGCAAAACCATGTCTCATCTTAAAACCCCAGGTTTTCTCATATGCTATGATGCTGCCCCATCACATTTTTTAAGCATGATGTACAAAACCCTCCTAGATTATGCTATCACATATGTTGCATTAAATGAAAGAAATGGGAAAATCTTATACAACTTGCCTTAAGCAAAACCCTCCCAAAATTTCAACTTCTCAGTGGTTGGAAAGTATAATACCATTTTTTCATCTGTTAAAGGATCCTGCTACCAACATCTTCATAATGGAAAGGAAAATCAATTCTACTGCTAGAGGAGCTTTATGGCATTAAAAAACTAAATTTAAAAGGACTGTATGCTGAGTGGAAAATCATTTAAATGCAATTTCTCTAGGCACTTATGAAACTGCACATTTCTTGGGCTCTGAGTCAGTTTCGCTTTTGAATTGACGGATCTTTTCTGGAAAAAAACAGCATAACATTTATTATTAATGCCTAACACTTATTAGGCACTTACTATGTAGGTGTTATTATGCACTTAACCCCACAACAGCCCTTTGTCACAGACAGCTTCTTTTACTAGGTAATAAATGAGAACACTGGCAGGCTGGCACAACTTCTCCAGACCACATAGCCTATTAGCACTGGAGTGCAGGTACAAGTCCAGAGCTCATGCCCTTTACCACTTCAGAGAACTGCCTCTAGTCACCCCCTGGGGATTCTTATGGGGATGCTTTCCCAGGAATGAATAAATATAAGGTCGAGGGAACAACCCCAGTGCTATGAGGATAATGTCATAGAAGGTAGGCTTTATCCATTCGTGCATTTATATTCTCAGCCTAAGGTAAAGCTGCATCATGAGAATAATGGCAGCTGCTGAGTGGTTATTATTACATGCAAGTTATAACAACACCTAATTTACTGATAAGTTTTCAAAGCATCTTCCCTGACAATATAATCTCTGACAGTGATTTTTTAGCAGTAACCTCAGCTGGCAAGGCAACAGCCTGTTTGCTCTTTTCTTTCAACCTAGACATACCATTCTTAAGGACACTGACTTGCAGTTTCCCAAACAGGGACCAAATAGCATTTGGAGCAAGACAATTCTTAGTTGTAGAGAACCTACAACCTGATACATAGGTTCAGTGTTCCTGTCCCCCTGTCACCTTCCCCACCCTCTCACTCCTGCCCACACAGACACATAAACAAAAAGACCCCTATACTTGTTCAAATACCCAGCTGACACTGAGGTAGACACTGAGAACCACAGGGCTAAAAAAAAAACAAGTACTGATTGAGTCATTCACCAAAGGAGAAGCTGGATATTCTGACTGAGCCACAGTGATCACCCAGCTGAGGCTGTTGCTGTTCAGGGCAGCTGTATTTCTGTCAAGGGTCCCCTAACATTTTAAGGGAGCAGGAGTGTCTGTTTATTGAAAACTGCCACTCACCAGCTAGTTCTGGGAAACCTGCGCGCACCAGCTCTTCGTACAGGTGCTTGACTGGCGAGTCCTGCATCATCAGGGTCCCATGCAGCCAGATGAGCAGAGCCCTGTAGCCATGTTCGCGGAAGCTGTCCTTCCCTGTGCCACACACAAAAGGTCAGAGGCCAAACACCACCTGCTGATGATGTCTCTTTTTACTGCTGTGATCTCCATTCTGAGTTTTCTCTCTGGCTGTGGTTGCAAATTCACTCCTCTTCTGATGAATGTTGGGTCAAGGCCCAGTGGATGAGAGCCCTTCCAGTTGGCCTCACTGGAGCTGCCTCTGGGTAACCAGTGTTCAGACGACCCCAGTACTTCCCATGCACCTACTGTGCTTGACCTAGCCCAAAGGAACGGACAAAGATTGTACAGCTGGGTCCCTGCCCTGCAATCAGGAACCATCTTGATGAGAAGTGGAGCTTTTTGAACACAAAGGGCATTGTTTCACCTGGGGACCTTGTTAAAATGCAGATTCTGATTCAGTCGGTCAGGGGTAAGAATCTGCATGTTTAATAAGCTCTCGGGTGCTGCTGTTGCTGCTGCCGTCTGTCACCTGCACTCCAAGCAACAAGCATAGACCATCCCGCTGCTCCAGTTCCTGATAGAAGTCTGAATCCCCACCATCCGGGGCACTGAATACTAGGCCAAATACTGACTGGATACTGAACCCTGAGAAGTGGTGGGGGAGAGGGTGCTGGAGTGTGGAGGTGAGAATCCACTGGCACTCCAAGCAGTTCACAGTTACAAACACATGACCAGCTTCTAGCTCTATTGAGTGTATGCCCCTGAGCAGACAGATGCTACAAGAGAAGGGCCTGAGCTCCAGGGAGGGAGTTCATTGGACAGATTGTTAGAGGGGCAGGTGTTTTGGGAAGAGCAAAGTGTGTGCACAAAGAATGTACTCTGAGGTGAATCCTCCTAATCTTACCCTTGTCAAACTAATTTTTCTCAAATATCATCAATAACATGTCAATCTTTTGCTCAAAAGTCCACAAACTCCCTGGTGCCATTACCTGGGTCACACTATAAATAGATCGTGAATGTTACTGTTAGGCCAACTAGAGTATAAACTCCCTCAAACATGCACCAGTTTACCTAGCAGATGTACCCTCACCTGGCCTAAACACGCTCTAAGCACTCTGTAAGGCTGGACTAAAACATTTTAAATTCCCCTTACCCTCATGGCAAGTACTATGAGGGTACACTATAGTTCCAACTTATTTATTTAAGTCAAGAGAGGTTTCCAGAAGACAACCATTGGGAAC